ACGATTAATCTAGCGATTATTTTTTCGATGCATCGATTAATCTAACGATTCATTTTTTCGGTCCGATTCGATTTGATTATCGATTATCTCTCCGTTAATTGACTAATAGCACTTTATACATGTTGATTTACATATCTGAATGAAAAAAAAACATGAATTCCTTAACATTGCAATATATGTTTATTGCTCTTAAAATTCCAAAATAAAAGACTATATAAGTGCAAAGTAATGCATTCTTATTTTCATAACATTCTCATTTTCCACTAGATATGTTCCTCTATATCTCATCAGCAATTTCGATTTCGGCACGCTCTGCAGCAGCTGACCACTAAGAGCGAATGTACAGTGACGTGACATCACTGCCAGATTCAAACTGTGCTTTCGCTCTATGGCTGGCGCTGAGCCAAAGACGGACGCGCTCAGCGCTTGTCATCATAGGCTATATCACAACTGTTCAGTGTTTTTAACCACATAATGTTTATTTTAGGTTTCAGACATTTAAATACATTTAATTTATAGTAAAACAATACATTTATAGTTTCTCCCAGTTCACCGGCCACTTACTTTCATGTATTTCGGGAGAAACTGATGAATTCACGTGCTGTAATAAATCCAACAGACAGGAATCTCGGAACTGCGGCCCAAACAAAAACATGACGGCGACATCTCTCGCATGCTAGGCGTGCGTGCCGCCTTGCTCTTCTGAAAGTCTGAGGAGCCACTCGTGTTGCTATACTACTCTCCGGCGCCGCCGTCTATGTTTTGGGTCTGACGAATCGACGCGAATATTTTGCGTCGACGTATTTTTTGCGTCGACGCTATACTACTCTCCGGCGCCGCCGTCTATGTTTTGGGTCTGACGAATCGACGCGAATATTTTGCGTCGACGTATTTTTTGCGTCAACGTCATCGATGACGTCGACGTGTTGTCCCAGCCCTATTTTGGCCCCTACGTGGTTAAAAAAAAAAAAAAACTGCATGCATTTTACTGAAGAACATTGTTTTGGTTGTGCTTCGGCTCTGCGTGACTGGCGGATGAATATGGTTCTTACAAGATGTCGACCGATTCATCGGGTTTGCCGATATATCGGTACCGATAGTTGATTGGTGGATCCATCGTTATCGGCAAAAATCCATTCCGATAGTTTTTCCGGGTTGCGTCCGTTGCTGAATCGGCTGAGAAGAGTAGCTATGGTGTCATTACACAGTATCAGAGCGCTGAGAAGAGACTGCTGGCATTATACACAGCCAGAGCGCCCTCTAGAGGACAAATAAGAACTATCACCGCGTGTTGCTTATTGTAACATGTGAGCCTGCGCGCAGCACGGAGAGCGCTGACACTTCAGATGCGCATTTAAAACACTGACAGCGAAGCGGTTTGAATACAGAACACTACAGTCCACGTTGCCATTTCATTATAAAGTAATTAATTTGTTGAGTAGATGCTGCTTTAGCAAAGAAAGAAAAGCAGTATGTTTGCCGTCGAGGCTGTTAGTACCTCAAGCGGTTAAAACAATGTGACAAAAACACACGCAAACCTGACCCAAATGTTTAATGTCGCAATTGTTACCATTTATTTATTTACATTATGCTTTTATGCATTCATTAGTCGGCGAAGTGACGTGATTGCTTTCTCAACATTGATATCTTCATGCAGCCGACAGAAACAAACAAATCAGAAACGCATTAGATTCAATTATTTTTTTAGGACTGCAATACATATTGTTATTTTGATTAGATAATCAAGTGTTCTAATATAGAAGCAAATAAAGTGAGAGACTATACATTTATGCAATTTGAATGCTCTGGACTTTGCAGATATTTTAAGATGGCCATCTTTAAGCATAGCAGACTCTTTGGATTGATATGAAATAGTAACACTTGTTTACAATAAGATTACATTTTTAGCAATAACTAAGGGTAATACATGTTGTAGTATTGTCCATTGTTAGTTTGTTAATGTCAACAATTACTAATACATTTTAAATTGAGTTTTAATTTTTATTTTATCTGTTAACCTTAATGTACTATGAATGAACTAACATGAATGATTAAGGTACAATTGTCTTGCTCAAAAATAATACATGCTGTAAAAAATGTTTTATAATGCATATAGTTCATGAAAGCTAGCTAATACATCCTTGTTAACAAATGTGGCTTGCAAAGTGTTACCTATGAAATGTACCTATGTTTCTAGGTTATAGCTAAAGAAACCTGTAATATTTTCATGTTTAGAACTTCTCATTTTAATATATTCATATTTATATATTTTTTTAATATTTATTCACATTTCAGTTCAGCACTGTTTTACTTTTACTTATTTTTTTTAATCCAGTATCCATTATAAAAATATCGGTCTATTAATCGGTTATCGGCACGTACGGTCAAACCTAAGTATCGGTAAATCCACTATCGGTCGACCTCTAATTCTTATAACTAAAGAGAGAGAGAGATTATCCTACTGCTCATAAAACATTCACTGCTATATAAGATAAGAGATATAACCAGATTAGATGGAAAGGATTAAGCTTGACTATCTGAAGACGTTACTGTAGCTTTACCCATTAATATACACGGTACTTCCTTTAAAATAAATTCCCCCTCATCACTACAACAACCATAATGAAATGACCCTTCACAATAGCCAATTTATCTGTTCAATAAAAAACCTTACTCACCCGTTGATTAATAAAAATGGCATTTCCGTGTCGCCTTTACATCATTTCAAGACCCTCAGGTCTTGCCGTCTCAGAAAAGCAATGTTGATTCTTGTTTTATTACGGGATCTGTCGCATTCTTCTCTTTTTCCACACACACACACACACACACACACACACACACACACACACACACACACACACACACACACACACACACACACTCACACTCACACTCACACTCACACTCACACTCACACTCACACTCACACACACTCACACGCACGCGCGCACACACACACACACACACACTCACACTCACACTCACTCACACACACTCACACACACACACACACACACGTGTATATGCATACATAATATAATATAAATATAATAATATATACACACACATATTATATAAACAATTATTTTTCGCAAGCAGACTCTCCTCTGTTCTGCGTTTTTTAAATGTATATATGCATACATGCATATGCATGTATACACACAAATATTATATAAACAAAAACGTTTATGTTAGATGCGATTACCGGTAATTGATTTGACAGCACTATTTTCAACATTAAAAGTTACATAGTGTAACAGGGCTCCAGACTTACTTTTTTTACTAGGAGCGCTGTTGCCCCTGACTGAAAATTTTAGGAGCACAAGCAGAAAATTTAGGGGCACACCTTAAATCAGCTTGCAATGCAATTATTCAAATTTCCCCCAAAATAACTGTAATACTGACAAATTATTTAATAATAAAGAGACTTAACGTACAGATATTACGATATGCAGTTTTATTTTAAGTTCACAGGGCTCCAGACTCAAATTTGAGGGCAGCATCACCTCAAATGAGAACTCACACTGAGTTCTACAAAAAGAAAAAATTCTGGTAGCACTGGGGCTGACAATAAATCACTAAGCTTAATTTAGGGTTTAGATGAAATTAACTTTTGTTATTATTATCATTCATAATGTCCTAATATTAATTAAAAAACAAAAGGAGTGAAAAAAGTATATAAAGGAGTGAACATACCCAATAAACATCCTACTGTTTACAATGGTATTTTTTTTAAATAAGTATTTAAATAAGAGTTATCCAACATCTTAAAATGTTTAGTTTTAGGACAATCTTTGAAGGATGAACAAAAAATGTGTTGGTCATCACATAAAAAAAAAAAAAAAAAAAAAAAAGCATTTATATATGATATAGTTTTGAAGTGCTAGAAAAGATATGTAGGCTGCGTTTGACTATTTCTGTCACATTATCATATTTATGGTTAGAGTTACTTACTACATTATCCTTAATCCATGGTAAATGTTGCTGATTTGTGGACTGAAAGCCTTCTATAAGTGTTTCTCCTGGTTTCCACGTCAGCGCTGTTTGATCTGATATCTATGGTTTATAACAGAACTCTGCACCGAATCGGACTGTTTCTCACTGGATCTCGTAGCGATGATGTTATTAATTCTGAGGCGAATTCAATGGATTTCTTCACTGGATCTCCTAGTAACAGTGTCGCGTGAGCGAGATCGGCCCGCGACTGGCAAGTTCGGGTCTTTATTTTATTGTCAATGGTTCGCGGCGCTGCTCCATTGATATACATAAGAAAGGCTATGCGCTGCTCTGTCTATTATTGGTCCGGAATAATTAACGGTCCGTGAAGCATAAATGAGTAGCGTATTTTCGTTCCATTTTCATTTTGTTTGCAGTCGCTGCTTGCTTGGTAATGAGTCGATAGATCGCTCATTGCTCAGACGCACAGCAGCTTGTGATATTTGTCTCCGTCTCCTTCCCACAGACACGCGCGCTCTCTATTCTTGTCACACTCACTCATTTCGGATTCATTGACGCGCCCCTTCCATGCTTAACCATGCGCTTAACGTGAGGCAAATTTACTGGTCGCACATGTGCGACTGGATGTAAAATTCAGTCGCACACTCTCAAATTTTAGTCGCAAAATGCGACCATTTGGTCGCAGTCTGGAGCCCTGGTGTACCTTTAATAAATGTTGTGGGAAATCTGAATAATTTCTTTAGCCCTTTTGCATAAAAACTCTTACATGTGCATTATTACATTCACTATAATTCAATGTAGTCTCTTAATTAATTTGAGGTCTTCAAATGACATGGTAATGATAAATAAATGATAAAAAGGCTGTTTTAAATACTTCTTAGATGCTGTGTTGGCATGCTGCAGGACACTGCTCAATATGAGTTGCCTAATATCAGACGTTTCTTTCAATTTCCACAATTAAAAATAAAAATAAAAATGCTGGATCACCTGAGTGTGGATAATCTTTGTTTGGAGACAACATGCTGTCTGTTGTGTTGAACTAGTTGGTGGGACACCGTGTTTGTAGTGGTTACTGGACTAGTAGCCCTGGAGAGCCCCCGGTGCAACCAGAGCAACAGCGCTGCGTTTGCAGGATTCTCACTCACGGATGATCCTCCGTGCAGAATGGCATTCAACTCACCTGAAGGTAAACTAGACTTCCTACAGATTATAATGCTTTATTAATAACACCCTCCCTCACAACATGCTTAGTAGTATAATAAAGAGCGTGTCGTGTTACAGCTGAGCATGTGTTTGGCGGCAGTCTTGTGGTAATATTGATGCTAATTTGAAATGTGGCGTTTGGATGACTATGACTTTCACCATGATGTATTTAAATCAGCAGTTTCAATCACTTGAGATGTTAGTGGTGGATATTAGTATCGCTTTAAGTGTCCATTCATGCTCTACTACCTGAACCTGGGCTTTCAATGCATATTATTTGTACGGATACTGCCAGAGCTCTCTTGATTGGCTCTTGGGTTGTTAAGTGTCTGTCGTGTTTACCACACTGCACGTATGTTAGCTACAGATTTGATATATCAGACTGTCTTGTGTTATTGATGAGAATGATGCTAAATTTGAGTGAATCGCTTTGTACTTCAATCCTTAACCTTTGTCCCGACTCCCGACGCTCATCTCAGTGTATTGAGTTTCAAATGTGGCTGGCTGTTGGATTTGTTTGCTAATAGCTGATAGTTAAAGAGCATGTTTATTGTCTAAATGCACTTAGAGCTGAAAACTGAACTTGGCAATCGACAGTGCAAATTTAGAAATGCATTATGTGGTGATGTGATGCAAATCTGTGCTAACAGACTTTGCCACTGAGGTTGTTATAGGTTTTGGGTGGTAATTCACTGTGTTACTATTCGCTTAGAAATCATCATGAACAAAACGTCTCTTAAATGCAGGGCCTGACTTTTGAATCCTGGTATAAAATCGTGCATGCATGAGGCACTTGCCACACTTTCATTGAAATAAATGTTTCTTCTTATCAGTTATGTTCATTAGGATTTTATGTTACATCTCATGTTGTTAAATTAATGTGTATTGCATTATAGTAGTGTTGAGTATGTTACCGTGATGGTGTTTGACACCGCACACCTTTTATATTAGTATTTACCTCCGCTTCAGGAAAAAATACTTTATGAACTTTGATTCATGAACTTCACCTGTGCTTTTAAGGTGATTGTCAGTATTAAATGGGTAAAACAGATTCTTTTGTAAGTTGGTATATTAACATGATTTCAGTGAATGAAATCTGCATTTGTTTTTACTATAAATTAAAGTCCCTATGAAATCAAACTGAAAGTTTTTTAGTATGAGGTTTAAGCCTTACTGTTATCTATATGCCTAGTGTGCTCCAAAACAATGGCAAAATTCACATTTAGAAGATATAAGCATTCAAAACTTAGTCTCTCACTTCCGACAGTATGAATAAATAATTTTGATGACATCACTCTGCACTTCAGATTTTCTGTCCAATCAAATGCTCTCTAGAATCTGAAGCTCCGCCCCTACACTATAATAGACGCTGAAGCTGCAGTTGAAATCAGTCACTTGTTCACACATTTACTATTTTTTACATGGTGAACGGCACATAGTGCACTTTATAGGGGATAGGGAACGATTCAGACAGTGTAAATATGCTTTCCACTGCAAATGAAGTTTGGTTTCACGTCAGTGTCACGTGAACCGCCGCAGCTCCGGTCCAGAGACACGACACACAGAGCGGATCATATGATCGAGTCGCTCAGACCAGAAAACATATCGGACCTGTTTGATATTCTGCACTGAATGCTGTATGTTAAAGCGATATGTGGGAGATCAGGAGGAGAAACGGTTAGAGATTAGGAGGAAACTGAGGCTTTACCGAGTTCAATGGCTCTGGCGGAGCTGTGATATAAACTAAACGGTATTGGCTATTTAAAAAAGGGGAGGAGCTGCTCGATATGCCCCGCCCTGTCTTCCTGTTTCAGTGGAAATTACATTAACACATTAAATCATGCTGAGCGTTTCAAGGCACTTCAGTGGGACTTTAAAATGTTGCTTGAGTTCTGGTAACTGTAGCTGCTGTATTATACTGTAGATGTCAGTTTTTTTACAGGTTCAGCCAATAACTAAGAATAGAAGATTAGATTTTTCTGTGAAAAGATGTGATTTTATGACCCATATACAGCTCTTTTGTTGTAGCACACTGGTAACTCGTAAACACAACTGATTACTGTTACTGAAAACATGTGCCAATTAGATTGTCCAAGGTTAATTTTTGTGTTCAATATTAATATGATAGTCTGTCAACAGATATTTAATTTAATCATGAGTCTTCTGCTTTGGCAGCTCTATTTTTTCATGTTTTTCCAGAGTTGAGGTTTTTGGTTTCTGAGCTGTCTGTTGTCTAAATGATTCGAGGAAGCTCTTTTAAATGCCATAGAGGACATGATGTGGTCTAGACTAGAGAGTCTTATTTGCTGCATGACAGTGTGATTGATGGGTTTGAAATCCCTTGTTAGGCCCCGTTCACACCGCAAGTCCTAATGCTCAATTCTGATTTTTTGCTCAGATCCGATTTTTTGATTGGCTGTTCACATTACCTTTTAAAATGTGACCTATATCTGATTGCAATGTGAACTGTTTGAGGTTTCAAACTAACCGGCATGCGCAAAAGAACAATAACAATGACATCAGACGCACCACACGGTTGCACTAAAGTTCGGGAGGTTATGGAGGAAGTAAGCATATTCGCATTTATTTCATAATGTTTGTGTAATGGAAACTTTTGCGGGTTTATAGTTGCAAATTCACTACAGAGATCTGTGTGGATGCGTAGACGAAGCCAGGAGTGGTGGGAATATGACGTGAATAGTTTCACTGAGACGCTGTTCTCCTGTGTCCCCGTTCTTCCATTTCGTGAGCAATTTTTTCAAAAACGGAGCGGTTACGGTAGGTCCTTCTAGCTTGAATTGAAGTATCTCCCCATATACTACTTAGATCTAACACCTCACTCTCATTGACTCGATTCATCGCTGTTCTCCATATCTAGTCAAGTTTTAATGTTAGGCTACTGTCTGTGTCTGTTGTGTCTAGGGCTTCGCCGGCGCATAATTGTGACAAATGTCGACGTAGATTTACGTAAAAGTCGCATCAAATCCGCCTTGATTGTTCACACTGCGGCCGCATTGAAAAAAATCAGATCTGGGTCTGATTCAGGACCACATATGTATGTGGTCTAAATCTGATTTGAAAAAATCAGATCTGGGCTAGATTTGAGTGTTCACATTACCTCTGAAGAAATCTGACCTGGTCACTTGACCCCAAAAAAAATCAGATTTGGGCCACTTTTGCCTGCAGTGTGAACTTAGTCCTATCATCCGTTTGATTCAATTACTGTAAAATGTTTTGCTTTCAATTTCTTCACAACAGCAGTTGGTTTCACTTTCAGTTCGGAGAAACCTCATTTTGTGAGATTAAAGACGTGCAGAAAGTGTGAAGACCGTCCAAAATGCTTCAGCAGTCCAACATGCACTCAAGTCTTCATCCACTTTGCTCACAAAGTTTATTATTGGGGTTTAAAGACAACATGATATAAAAATGAACCCTGTCTTTGATTGTTCCCAGTTCTTATTGTGCTCCACTGATCAGTAAACATCTTTCATTTCAACATTATAAAACAACAGCCGAGCGGTTGGGGAAGAAATAACTTAACTAATACTTGATGGTTTTATTCATTTGTGGCATTCCTCAATCCTCAGTCTGTATTTTTTGTAATGACTGCTAAACTGTATAATCGACAATACAAGTTTCATGTCTCTTGTTCTCTTTTGATGGAACAAAATTAAGTTCCAATCAGTATTTTGTATCTATCTATTGCAATCTCTTGTTGCAGTTGTTTTGCAGTTTCATTTGACTTTACTCTATCAAAAGATACTCGTTTTTGTATAGCGAACAAATGAAGAATTCATTCGCTGTCCTGTATGTGACCTGGTTACCATAGCAATGACCATTGAGAATATTACTGCAATATTGCGCAGTTGCGAGTGAGAGTATTGTCAGACGTGCCCTTTAGAGATCCCATCAATTATGAAGCTTTTTCTACTGAGAATTTGGACAATTAAAGGACTAGTTCACCCAAAAATGACTTTCGTGCTTGTGGGTGGAACAGAAAGACATGTTTATTAAGCCCTATTCAGACTGGACTAGTTTAACATGGAGAGGTGGGGTAAAGTAATTAGTACCAGAGCTTCTCAGTGATTTTTAGTCCTGTCCAAATGTGCCATCTCAGTAATCATTACAGACAATTGCTGCGTCCCAATTCGCCTACTTATACTACGCCCTAAAAGTATGTACTCTTTTTGTGAAGAAAAAGTACATACTTTTGAGTGTGTAGGAAAAGAATAGGCAAGCTTTGGGACATACTACTTCGTCATCTTTAACGGACAGATCTGTCGCGTGCATCCTATCACCGTAAACTGCCCTGTCAATCATCTCGTCACAGTTAAAATCCTCCATTCAATCTAAGTTAACTTCTTACCATTTCGGAGAGAATTGTTGTCGCACGTTCATCTGCCAGTCGTGGGTCTTTCATGCCGAGACTCTCCTCATGTGTTTGGAATTTGAATATAATAATGCATTTAAAAGTGAATGGCTAAACGTATCTTTGCAAAAGTTCACAATGCTGCAGATGCAATATAATGTGGACAACATTGAATAAATGCATTTTCGTCAGGTTAGATACTACTGATAATTAATCACTCAAACCCCTTTGTCTAAACCTCTCTACATAACCGTCGGACTCGCGCGTCCTCCATGTCTGTAGTTTTTGAACACTTTTCACTCGTGTTTGTAGTTCTAACCGAATCCTCGTCCAACGCGCGATGGGTTATGGGCAATATCAGCCGTTAGAGTGCGCAACGATCTGGACTTCGGATTCTGAGCGGATATAGTGGACCATCCGGGTCTCTTTGGGACACTCATTTCAACATACTATGATTTGGGACGTACTAATTCTATTTTCGAATACTGTATTTAGGACGGATAGTATGCGAATTGGGACGCAGCAAATGTCTTGGACTTTTAGCTTCTGTAAAAAAGGTCCGGAAAAATTACCTCAGGTAATGCTAATCCCGTGAGAATAGATAAGTACGTTAA